CTCACCTCAGCCTCCCAAAGGCGCGGGATTACAGGCTGAGCCACCGAGCCCGGCTTGCGGTGCATTTTTAAAGGAGCATACTAGCTGCCATGTGGAGGACTCAGAGAAGGCAGAAGGGAGACAGGTGTAGCAGTTCCTGCAGCAGCCCAGAGAGAGATAATGGTGGCATGGGCCAGGGTAGGGGTGGGGGATGGCAGTGGAGGTGTTGAGGGGTGGTCCTGGCTGCCTTTTGAGGGTATCGAAGATAGGATTAGCTAATGGGTTGCATAAGGGGGGTGAAGGAAAGGAGTGAGTGGCAGCTCCAGGCTTTGGGGCTGAGCAACTGGAAGAATGGGATGCCCTTTACTGAGACAGGGATACATTTGGGGAGAAGTATCTTGAGTTTGGTTTGGCTGGCATTCTAGAACCCAGAACTGTGATGAGAGCAGGTAGGGCTGGACCGTGAGCTTCCCTGCCAAAATCCCTAGGGGAACTGGTTTTAAGTCCTGCGTGGTGAGAGGGTGGAAAGCAGGAGGATGTCACTGCGTTAAGTGGAACATGAATGGGCGACAGCAGCAAAAGATCAGGCTGAGTGAGTGAGAGGACAAGACAGGAGTCTTCTCAAGGAGCCCCAGCTGGAGCCTTTGGAAGAACAGAGAAGAACAAGGGACACCAAGAACTTGGGAAAGATGATCCGAGGATGGGAACAGCCATCAAGGCCTCCAGAAAGAAGTGGATCTGACTTGAGCTTCGAGGAGGAGGCTAAGATTGTGACACAGAGGTAGAGGAGGACAGAAGGAGAATGTGCAGGGTGTAAGACAGACAAATGAACGAAACCCAGAGCTGGGAAGGCTCGTGACTTTACCGTAAGCCATTCTGAAGGCAGAGAAGCAATGAAATGGGGATTTGGGTTGGCAAATCAGGGTGATTCTGCATTATTAGAAACCTTGAAAGCTCAAAGCTGAAAAGAGGGTCAGATGAAAGTGTGCAAGAGAGTCAAGAACGGGAAGCTGAGCTGGGTGTGGTGGCTCACGCCTATAATCCCAGCACTTTGGGAGGCTGAGGTGGGAGGATCACTTGAGACTAGGAGTTTGAGACCAGCCTGGACAATAAAGTGAGACCTTGTCTCTTCAAAAAATAGAAAAATTAGCTAGGTGTGGGGATGCACGCCTGTAGTCCCAGCGACTTGGGAAGCTGAGGTGGGAGTCTTGCTTGAGCTCAGGAGATCCTAGCAGTGGTGAGCTGTAATCGTGCCACTGAACTCCAGCCTGAGTGACAGAGTGAGACCCTTTCTCAAAAAAAAAAAAAGAATGGGAAATTGGCATGCAACTGCAGTATGGTTTGTGTGTACTGAGACCATTTCATCTTGATCTGAAATTAAAACTAGCTCCACTTCACCTTCATTTTCCCTCCCATCTTTTTACTATTCCAACCATAACACTTGCACATTGAGTCCTAAGATACAGGAAGACCTGCTATCAGTCTATCCACTACATAAATAGGCCAGAGTTTTGGACCATCAGTTTCTAATAGGACTGGCTTAAGTTTCCACCATGGTACATCCTCTTAAAGTCTTTACTATAATGACTGGGCCACTCAAAAGTTTAAGTCTACTCCAATTCCAGGTGATAAGTCCTTTTTTTTTTTTTAATAAATCGGGGACTTAGTCTGTTGCCCACGCTAGAGTGTGGTGGTCCCAGCTCAGCCTCCCAAAGTGCTGGAATTCCAGGTGTGGACTACCGTGCCTGGCCGTAAGTGCTTTTAATGGATAATCTTTCCCGGGCAGATAAGGCATTTACAATGAAATGTAATGGTATATGTAATAATATATTCTAATAATGGTATATATATTATAATGATACTGTATGTATAAAATTATAAATATGTTATTTATTATAATATAGTCATGGTAATGATCATAAGTTGGCTATAAATTATATCTTTACACCTATGTACCCTTATAAGCAATATACTATCAGATGTTAACTATAAGATGTTGACTTTATATTTTTATCGTATGAGGCCAAAAGGAATAGAATGCTCAGTTTACTTTAGTGCTAAGTCTTTTATCAGGTTGTAGTCAACAAATAACGTTTCATAGGTTGAAAAATTCTGATGCTGTTTTCTATTGTTGTTGTTTATGCCTTTAAAATAAATTTCCAGTGAAAAATACCATAACCAAGATAATTTGTTTTACAGATTATGGATGATTGGCCAGGGTATGACTTGAATTTATTCACATATCCACAGCACTATTATGGAGATTTGGAATACGTCCTCATACCACATGGCATCATTGTGGACAGGTGAGTGTTGTATCCTGAGGTCCGTGTTAGTCTTGCACTGGGCTGGCCCACTCGTGTGTGTAAATCACACAACATAGTTTAGGAACCTATTCCTGAGCTCCTTTTTATAGTGTAGAGAGAACTTTTATAGGGCAGTGAATTTGAAATAAATTTGAAATAAATACACTGCCTTATAAAATTCATGCTTTCACTGAATGGTTTACCTGGACATTTGTTCAGGGGAAATAGTTATGCACAGAAGTTATTATAAGTAACAACCTCAAAATAACAGTGTCCTAAGATGGCTTTTTCATGGAATCCAAATCCCTTCCTCAGAGGGTGAGAAGTTCCATGATCAAATAAACTTGGGAAATTTTTGCATTTCCCAAATTGCTAAATCTCCCAACTGGCAAATCAAAACAAACAGAAGCATATGAAAGATATGGAAATGCTGGTGGAGGGGGATGGAAGGAAAGAGATTTGCTTGGCTTTAACAGTTAAACCGACTTTTTTGTGTAAAGGAAGACTTTGTGCTCAGTTCACCTGTTCATAAATCTCAGAAGAGATTTCCCTTATCATCACTCTGAGAAGCTTCTGGCTTAAACAAATTCCTCTTTTCTTTTTTTTTTTTTTTTGAGTTAGAGTTTCACTCAGTTGTCCAGACTGGAGTGCAGTGGCCGCTCCCGGCCACCGCAGCCTCACCTGCTGGGCTCTAGCGATCCTTCCACCTCAGCCTTCCAAGTAGCCGGAATTACAGGCATGCGTTACCACACCTGGCTGATTTTTTGATTTACTGTAGAGATGAGGTCTTGCTGCCCAGGCAGGTCTCGAACCCGCGGGCTCAGGCAATCCACTCACCTCAGCCTCCCAAGGGCATGGGATTACAGGCTGAGCCACAGAGCCTGGCAAATTCCTGCTTTTCTTATCTGAATTTTCTTTGTTAAATTAATTGCATCCTGATTTAGAACATGCTTGAGTGCTGGCTAAGGTTACCCTAAGCCTTTTCTCAGTACAGGAGAGTCACTCTGAATTTTATTAAAATGCATATTGAAGATTTATGTTTAAAAATTCTGCAAGCCCAGAACGTCCATCCTTTCCTTTATAAATAAATTTATTAAGATATAATTTACATATTACTATATAAAAATTACCCATTGTAGGCAAATGGCAATACCTTTTAGTACATTTTTTTTTTTTTTTTTGAGTTAGAGTCTCACTCTGTCACCCAGACTGGAGTGCAGTGGCACGCTCGCAGCCACAGCAGCCTCGACCTGCTGGGCTCCGGCGATCCTTCCGCCTCAGCCTTCCAAGTAGCCGGAACTACAGGTGTGCGCTACCATGCCTGGCTAATTTTTTATTTATTGTAGAGATGAGGTCTCGCCAAGTTGCCCAGGCAAGTCTCGAACCCACAGGCTCAGGCAATCCACTCACCTTGGCCTCCCAAAGTGCTGGGATTATAGGCTGAGCCACCGAGCCCGACCTTAGTATATTTTTATGGTTGGGCAATTATCACCACAACCCAGCTTAAAACATCTCCAAATGTTTGTTTGCAGCCAATCTGTGCTCCCATACCCAGTATCGGGCAATCGCTAATCTGCTTTCTTTCTATGTAAATTTGTTTTTTCTGGATATTTCACATAAATGAAAGCATATAATATCTAATTATTGACTCACCAGTTGACGGGCATTTGGATTTTTGGCTGTTGTGAATAATGCTTTTCTGAATATTCACATGTAAGTCTTCGTGTAAACTTATCTTTTCACTTCTCTTGGATGGATGTCTTCGTATGGAATTCTGGGTTTTCTGGTAAGTTTAAGAACCTGCCAATTATTTTCCAAAGGGGCTGCACCATTTTACATTCCCTCCAACAATGTATGAGAGTTCCAGTTGCTCTTGGTGCTTGTCAACATTTAGTATCATCTGTTCTTTTGATTACAACCATTCTGATGGATGTATGATGGTATCTCATTGTGGTTTTAATTTGCATCTTCCTAATCGTTAGTATACTTGTTAGTTAGCCATATGTCTTTTTTTTTTTTTTCACACTGCTTTATTTAGGGCTCTGGTCTCACTCGTCGATAGACTTTACGTATTTCCCATAGCCTCTTTACTCACCAGCTCACGTAGTTCTGAAGGGTTACTCAGCGTCATCTTGATCAGCCAACCATCTTCATAACACGATTTGTTGACAAGTCCTGGAAGCAAGAGCATCATTAATTTCAGTGACTTCTCCTGTAAAGGGGAACAGAGTTCACTAGCAGCTTTCCAAGGCACCAAACTCACCAAATTATTTGTTCAATTCTGTCCCAATTCAGGCAGACTACAGTCAACAACATCTCTCAAAGCTTCCTGTGCAAAATTGCTGATTCCCACTGTTCCAATTCTGTTTTCTGTTGTTATCCATTCAGGTTTCTCTGTGAATTTATGCACGGAGAGCAGGGCAGGTCCCGT